CCGCAACGGTTCTAGGCTACCCTGAAGATATAGTTTAGATGGGTGTCTGCTAGCATTAGATACGTACTTCACACTCCGAAACTGTTCACTGAACTGCTGGTGTCTTGGCATATCACCAAATGAGATGTAATTAGTAATCTCTCTGTTCGTTCTTCATCCACATTATCCTTTTCTTTCTCGGTAACTCAGCAATCTTCTATTGTCTGTGCATCACAGAGTTACCGTTAAATTTCTCATGGTGATTTCAGTGCAAAACCTGCTTCTCAAGAGGCAGGTCAAGTCGGTAATCTTGATTTACGCCAACCTATAACGTGGACACGACGCTTGCAGTTCATTCCCTTGCTAAAACCCAACCAGATTCTTATTCAAGTGGTAACACAACAGAGCTAAACAATGTTAAAGTTTGTAATTCTGGCTTTTTATTTTTCCTTTGACCCCAGAGCTCCAGTTTTTAAAAAACTATATTTTTAACTTTTTCGAGATTCTAGTTCAATTTCATCAAAGTTACATCTTAAAAGTTACAAGAAAAAAATGTCATAGGTGAAAGTTTTGTTTCATGCAGAAACAGTTAACAGCTGTTTGTTTTACATGTGGTGAGAATTGCGCTTCATTCTGGAAATCATACCAGATACACTCAGGTTAAAAGTATGATGTTCATATCAAAACGATATATTTTTTTCTTATTAAAAATTGAATTTTCTGGAGAAAACACGGATAGTGTGGAAAAGAGAAGAAAATATTTATAGTGGATCTACCAAGGGAAACGGGATACATTTCAGTATTGGATGCCTGGTGTCAATCCTCCTCAAAACCTGCAAGCTTCCTGTAGAAAACCCATCTGAACACCGACAGTAACCCAGTCTTCATGGTCAATGCACCCAACCTTTGTACCTGTCTTCTTTCTGTAATTTTACATGTAATTCCATGTGGCCTGGCTCATACTACAGGGTGGCACTAATGCTTCCCTGGGCTTTCCTGCAGGCCTCCCTACCACCCTCCCAGGACCACTGTCTTTGATGTCCCACGCTGGAAAATCTCCCCACATGGATTACACAATGCTACCTCCAATTTGTTTGCTTATATTTAATCTCTTGCCTTCACTTTCTCTTATTCAGACTTCAGATTGGTGTCTGTGCTTATACTGTTTTCATCTGAAAAAGCAGAAAACCCAAATGGTAGTATGCATGAACAGCAGGGCACTTATTGACCATGTAACAGGAGGTCTGGAGCTGGAGCGGTGCCTCAAGTAGGAAAGCAGGAACCTTGAGGATTTTCACCCTTTTGTCTCTGTTAGCAATGGCTTGTCTCCTGTTTCCTGTTCACAATACAACCATCTAGGTCTGAGGAGTCAAGAGACAGAGGTGAAAAGAGCCTCCTGTCTTAAAAACAGTAATTTCATATATAAATACCTTTAAAACAAGAATTAAAAAAAAATAGACAGCTTAGAGTGACCAAAAGCAACTAGGAGAGAAGGGTTTATTTATTTGTCCTACACTTCAACATCACGGTTCGGCATCGAAGGAAGTGAGTTCACTCACACCACAGTTCATCACTGAATGCATTGGGGGCAGGACCTCAAACAGGGCAGGACCCTGGAGGCAGGAGCTGATGCAGAGGCCATGGAGGGGTGCTGCTCACTGGCTTGCTCCTCATGGTTTGCTCAGCCTGCTTTCTTAGAGAACACAGGACCGTCAGCTCAGTGGTGGGCCTACCCACTATGAGTTAGGACCTCCTGCTTCTATCACTAATTTAAAAAGTGTCCTGGAGGCTTGCCTGCAGCCCACTGTTATGGGGACATTTTCTCAGTTGAAGTCCCCTGCTCCCGTCAGACTATAGCCTGTGTCAAGTAGACGTAAAGTTAGCCATCGAATTTTATTTATTTTATCGTGTGTGTGTGTGTGTGTGTGTGTGTGTGTGTGTAGTGTGTGGGCCCCCAAACGTTAGAAGAGGGCATTGGGTTCAATAGAGGTAGAGTTACAGGTAGTTGTGATCCAGTGATCCACCTGATCTGAATGCAGAGAACTTGACTTGGACCTCTGGGAGGACCAGTCCCCTCTCCCATGTTCCTCTTGCTGTTTAATCAGGGCAAATAATTCTTAGGAATTCATCTTAACTCATTTTTGCCAGAAATTGTCCCTCCACTCCCCCCAACTGCACAGTATTTAATTGAACAGGAAAGGGATGTTCAACACTGACTTAGGCCAAAAGAGACTCTTTCCTTGGGTGCATACGTGGCCCACAAACCTGTTTCTCAGGGTGATTGGTAGAGGCGACCCTATTTGCCCGTCACCTATGTTTGTCAAGACCAAATTGTTTTGTCTAAACCTTGACGTCTCTAAAGTTCCATCTATATTACGGTTCCAAGGGGTAGGGAGGTGGGTTGTAAACAGGAGTCTTAGTGTCCATACTTGCATTTCCAACAAGAGCAACCTCAGAGTTTCAGTGATTGCTCTTGTCTACCAAACCAAGCACCATATCATTCAAATCCGTTCTCCCAAACTTATCTTCATATTCTCCCCATTCCCCACCTTCCTAGTTTAAATCTCAAACACGTAAAACCTTTACATGATGACAGAGTGCAACAGAGTACAATGGGTGCCTCCCCATGAATCTTCTCTTGATTCCTGCTTCCCTCTTTGCTTCTTCTGTATACTATTCTTAAATCCCCTTTCCTATATCCAATATAAACATAGCGGCTGGGGTTCAAGCTCTTGGTCAACATTTCTAAGTCATAAGTGCTTTCTTATTTCTAGTCAGCTTTTTTTTTTTTTTTTTTTTTATGAATTTCTAGCATACTACACGCTCATTCCAATACCTCACCAAGGTGTTGCCGCCAGGTAGATTTCTGACTGTTTTTTCATACTACTTCAAATAATGGAGCGTTACACAACAAGTTGACTATGCAAATTACCTAGTTCTTTAGTATGACTAGAGCTCACAAACCAACCCCAAACTTTTTGACCCTGTCCAGGAAATTTAAACTCCTCTATGTATGCTTGAAGAACTAGTAACTTTCCAAGCATTAGCCTTCTTACAAATCTACAATGGCTATCGTAGCCTACTGCTATATATGTCTATTGATTGATCATTAAATACGAAAGGTTAGCCAATCTTTAAATAACCATAACCACCTTAATTGTCTTATTTATGCATATGTGCTTGTCAGTATACACATGTGGGTGGAATGCTGAAGATGACCTTTGGTGTCCCTCAGGATTGCTGTGTACCTACCTCCTTGAAGGAAAAGATTGATTTTTTTTTTTTTTTTGTCATTTTAACTTTGTGTTTTTGTGTGTATGCACATGTAAGTGAAGGGGTCTGAAGAATCCAGAGGGGTTGATATTTCTGGAAGTGGTATGTGCTCTTAAATGCCGAGCCATCCCATTAACCCCCTTATCACCCTCTGACAGAGGGACTGCCATAGACTAAAAGCTCTTCCACCAGGCTGATGATGATGAAGGTGCCAATGAAAGAGCACTTCCTGAGTCTTTCTGGTCACCGGTCATTGGAAGAACATCCTCCTGAAGGGTTAGAGTCAAGTTCCACAAAACTAGGCTGGCTTTGCAGCGGTTTCTCAAGACTGTGAAAACAGTGTCCGCATGGCCATGCTATTGAACAGTATTTCCTCCTCCTCCTCCTCCTCTTCCTCCTCTCCTTCTTTTTCTTTCTGATTTGCCAGTTTTCAGGAGCTCTGAAAAACATAAGCCTGTTAAGTCTCTAAGTTCATTAGCACTGCAAAGCCCAAGCAAATTAGTTAAACCCGAATTTCCAGTGACTAGGTTCTCCATCTGAGAATTCTGAAAACTTGGAAGAAAATGGTAAGGTCAGTGTGCGGAGAGAAAATTAGGACACCATGCCCTTCCAGTGCCTTGCTTCATGCAGTGCCTTCTGCCCTGGTATCTGAACCCACGCCTCGTGACTGAGGAAGAAGAGTATTGAGGGACACACACACACACACACAGACACAGAGACAAGACAGACACACAGACAGACAGACAGACACACACACACAGACACAGAGACAGACACACACAGACAGACAGACAGACACACACACACAGAGACAGACAGACACATACACAGACAGACAGACAGACAGACAGACACACACACACACACACACACACACACACACGGTGTGGGGGTAATAATCTTTGGCTGCCTAATATGTGCACTCACTACTTGTTCTCGGAAAATAAAAGCAGCAAGATAAGCTCCCAGGTTTCTTTTCTGTGTTTATGTCTTCCCTGGCTGGCCTTGTGTTCCTTCCACGGGAGGCAAGAGCAACAATTGGAAATGTGACGTCCTTTATCTCCAGAAGAATATAGCGCAACCACAATGACTCGCCTCAAACCCTGTCTTTTTATTGCGGTTTATTTACGCCGGGAAAGGTAGCTTTTTGGCTGGGTATGGAGACCGTGAAGTGGTTGAGAAAAACAGGGACCTTGCCTTTCTAATCTCTTCCCTCCCATCTAATGGCTGGAAATCCATTCCAGGTTTTGCGGCCGCCTCTGCCTCTGAATTTCGGCGGTGCACGGGGTAGCACGTTTCTCTCCCTCCCTCCCCTCCTTTCTCCTTTCCCTTGCTTCCCGTGTCAGTCTCCAGGATTTTCTCTCTTCCGATTTCAAGAAGACTCGCACAGGCTCCCCCAGTCTGCGTGAAGCTGAGGTTTCCTCCCGGATCCCGTACATCTCCATCCCATACCTCCACGCACACACCTCCCCGAAGAGCCCAGCGCTCACACCCACAAACACGCGCGCACACACTCGCGCCGGCCTGTCCATCTCCCCCCGGGGGGCGGGGGAGCCGCGCGCGGTCCCACCTTCGCGGCTCACGCTGGCCAGGCGAGCTCGCGGCGCTCCTCGACTCTGCGGCTCGGAACTCGGACCGCTGCTCTGAACGCCCCCACTGTGGTATTTAAAAAAGAGACATTTCTTTGCCTTCTCCTCTTCTCTCGCCTTTCTCGCACGGTGGTTTTTTTTTTTTTTTTTTTTTTTTAAAGCCGAGAGGCTAGCGGAGCCGGCTGCATTGCCAAGCCAGCCCTGGTTGGCTTGCCATCCTCCATCTGGCTTATAAAAGTTTGCTGAGCGCAGTCCAGAGGGCTGCGCGGCTCGTCCCCTCGGCTGGCGGAAGGGGGTGACGCTGGGCAGCGGCTGAGGAGCGCGCCTGCGGCTGTGGCGGGCTTTCGGCTCCAGGGGCAAGGTGAAGAGCGCACAGGGAGCTGGGGGCTGCCGAGGTGGACTTGCACGCTGCACCATGCCTTCTTGGATCCGGGCTGTGATTCTGCCTCTCTCCGGGCTGCTTCTGTCCCTCCCGGCCGCAGCGGACGTGAAGGCTCGGAGCTGTGGCGAGGTCCGCCAGGCTTACGGTGCCAAGGGATTCAGCCTAGCGGACATCCCCTACCAGGAGATCGCAGGTAAGCGCGGGCGCCAGCCCGGGCCCGCTGCAGCCCCGGGAGGCGGCGGCGCCCCTTCCCCTGCCCCCTGTTGCTCTCTCGCTGCTCACTTTGCGCGGGTGGCTCCTGGGGGACCCCGCGTCCCTGCCCGCGGGCGCCGGAGGCTGCGTGGCGTTTCTCGGGCGGGAGGAAGGTGTGCGTGCCGGGCCGCCTCATTGTGTGCGCACGCGGGAGCACCCCGGTCCCCTCCCTGGCTCCCCGCGGCTGCTCCCGCGCCCCGCTGCCTCCTCGGTGGCCGGCCTAGCCTCGGGCCGGCCGGGGACGGTGGAGAGGAGACGACCGAGCGCGGCGCCCATCGCATCCCCCTCGCCGGGGCAAACTTGGAGAACTGCGGCCACAGTTCTCCCAGCGCCACCGTCTGAGTGGCGCCTTCGCCACTCCCGCCTTCGCGCCGGCGGGGGCGGTGGAGAGGCGCGGAGGTTCCTTACTCCAGCTCTGCTCTCCGGGTCCCCGCTTCCCAGGGACCGAGCGCCCGGCTCCCGGGCCGGGGACGGGCGGGCGGGCCACTAAGGGGACGCCCCGCCGGGGTCCCCAGAATCTGAACGGTGCACGCAGCCCCGGGGGTGGGGGAGCACTTCGCAGCCCGGCTGCTTCTGATTTGCGGCGGGCTTTCCCGTCAGGGTGCTCCGGCGCTTCCCCGACTGCGGTTGGTCACTCGGGCTGCGCAGACGACCCGGCCACCCGGCTCGGCGCCGGGTGCTGAGCGCGGCCTCGCTCCGGCCCGCTGGCGCGCGCGGAGCCAACTTAAGCGAGCGGCCCGATGGGGGCGTCCGTCTCCGGGCTGCGCACTTGGCGGCCGGCGGCTCGCCGGATCCCAGGCATTCCTTTCTCCCGAGCTCCCGGGCCCCCGCCCTCTTTGCGGCCCTTCGGGCTCCACCAACTTGCGCTGCAGCCTGCCTGCCTGTGTGCTTTCCGGCTCTTAGCTCCAACCGCACCCGAGCCTCTCCGGGTCTCCGTGGACGAAACGTGTCGGGGCCACATAATCCTTCAGCTGAGTGGGAACTGAGCAAAAGAGGCCGAGGGAAGCCTGGGGATGGTGTGAGGGCGCGGGCTGCTCAAACCCGGTGGCTGACTTGAGGTCCTAAGTGACCTCAGATCGCCGGGTCGCCACCAGACTCTCTGCTTTTTGCCAAATAACTGGTGGACTTGCAAATGTCTTAAAAGCATCTTAGTTTTTAACTCGTTGCGGGCTTAATGCTTTGTTACGGTCGATCGCCAAACTCTAGGAGTGAGGGTCTTTCCTTACATCACGATTAACGCATTTCTATCAATCTGGGCACCGCAAAAAAAGGAAAATAAGCCATGCTCACACATTACAGACAGCGCGGCGCTTTATGTTAGAAGGAGCTCTTTTCGGTCCACAGTCAGGCGTTCTGTTCCCTGGGTCAAGAAGGCTGGAGAAGCCGCAGTGAATTTTAAGACTGCTCTTTAGTCTCTGGGATTTCGCCCACCCCACTCCAGCACTCCTTAATTTGTTAATCAATGACTAGAAAGGGACTGCGCCTGCAGCTCCTTAAGTTCCTTAACCCTCCTTTCCCTTCGTCTTCTGTTTCATTCTTTTTAATTAATTGATAAGGATCAGCTTCACCTTTTTAACTCTCAAAATCTCAGGAAATTCAACTTTTAAAAGGCTTGGAGCGGGGATCCCTTCTAGGAACTCGTTTTCTCCTCTAATCTGGCAATTTTAGAACTGTATCTTTTAAACACACATATTTCCCAACGTGATTTCAGATAAGATAACCCCAAGAAGAAAACAGCTAAGTATTTTTAAATTGCATCGGTATTCCTTAGTAGTCGAGGAGCCTCCCAGGGGAGTTGCATTGACTCTCAACACCATGCGGGGCCTGATTTTCAGAGTGCAAAAGCACATTGTAAATGATCTCTCTAGTCACCAATTACTTTGTTGGAGAACCTTCCTGGTGGCTGTGCACACTCCAGAAGTAGCCTAACTGTGGAGGATTTAGGTTGTTGTATATTTTTTTTGTCTTCTTTCCCATTGCCTTGAAAATCACAGACTGCTAATAGCTCTGAATTCTGAAAATGCACCCACTTCACTAAACTCAGTCCAAGAATGAATGCAAGCTTAGGACTTTTTACCTTATGGCCAGTGTCATCCAGTGCTGGTCCATGCTTTCCTGGGGTCAAAAGGTACATTAGATAGGAAAATAATGAACTGTAAGATAACTGAAGAGTTTTTATTTGGGGTGGGGGGAGCATTTTTTTCCAAAGTAAACTTTACACAGTGCTAAAGTAAATTGCATTTCCTATTGCTTTTGGAATAATCACAATTAAATAAACAAATACTTCCTCTCCTCCATAGTTCTTGGTAATATTTACATTTAATTATCTAGTATAGGTGTGGTGGCTACCCTGTCTTGAAATTCTTTTCCATCCTTTGCCTTGCTCCCCATCCAGGGGTTTGCTTGAGAAATGGCATGCACTAGTCTGTCAGGAAACCAGAATTTAAAAGAGTTACTGTTCAGACTTCAGATTCTAGTTTAGCCTGGTTTGTGAAGTAGCTCACCTAGTGAAATAACTGGGCAGTACTAAGGATACTGTATTTAATCTCAGCATTTTAAAAGTTTTACTCCAAGATCACAATTGTAAAACAATGTTGCCTTTTTCTCTTCTGGGTAGAGAGATGCTCTTCAAATGGTCAGAGGGGACTGGAGGTAATATATAAACTTGGGCTCTTTGGAAGTGAGTGCCATTGAAGGGGGAGTTTGCACTATCAATCTTTACTCAGCCTTGATTTTAAACCCATATCAGCAGGCAGATTAGATAGACTCTCCTTGTTGGCAGATCTCCAAAGGAGCCCACTTTCCAGTGCCTGTCAGGGATCTGTTCTAATACATGGAAACTCCTGTGGTATAGGGACTGTTTCCAGACAACCAGCCAAAGCCTTCCCAGTGGCCTTGTTCCTGTTCTTGTTCCCTGTCCTGGGAAGATCCTAAGCTAAGAGCATTGGGAGCTTGAATAGGGTACTTCTGATCAAAGTTCACTCTTCCCTCTCAGCTCAGTAATTCTGGCTGATGCTAAGCATCTCAAAGAGTCCTAGAACAGTGGTGCATACCTTTAATTCCAGCAGAGGAAGGCAAATCTCTGTGAGTTCTAGGCCAGCCTGGTCTACAGAGTGAGTCCCAGGGCAGACTCCAAAGCTATAGAGAAAGCTTATCTTGAAAACAAACAAACAAATGAACAAAAAGCACTTGCAGAGTGCTCGCCCCTAATGCACAGGGCACGGTGTCTCTAGCAGCACACACATTCACATGCAGTCATACTATGACACATAGGCTGTCTCACATACACACACTCACACAGACTCACACCCGGTAGTACCCTTAACACCTGACACGCACACTCTGACCCCCTTCCCTCTACACTAGTGAGGCATATCAGAGAATGTTGTTTCAGGATTTTTTATATTTAACTTTGTTGAGATCTTTATAATATTTCATACTTCTTAGCTTAATGGGGATTACTCTTTTCTTATTTATCTGATGTAACTTTAACACTTCATATGTAGAGATTATGTGCCCATCACCGATGTATACACACTACTTAAGCAGGCCACTTGGCTCAGCTGGTTAAAGTTCCTGCTGCCAAACCTAACTACGAGATTGATAACTGGGACGCACCCAGTGGAAAGAGGAAACCAACTCTTTCAAGTTGTCTTCTGACCTCCATATTTGTTCTATGGCATTCATATATACACATAAGCATCGGTTCAAAAACAAAACAGATAGAAAGGTATTTCAAAAGAAAATATTGCTCACTCATTTTTTTTCAATAATTTAGAATATAGTGGATCTATCATATTTTATAGATAAAAAGGCAGCAGTAATGTGCCCAAGGGTAACTCGGCTAACAAGGGTTAGAAGGAAATGCAAACCCAGTGTGCTGGCTTGAGATTCCGAAACCCTGTAGTTTGGATCATTGTGCTACGGAATTAAGCCCCCTGAATTTGTTGAATTCATACACACAAGACCAATTTTCCCCCTTGTATATGTGTCCTATTTCGTTGGCCAACACATCCATTTATGTACACCCACAAGTTGTGAATTCCGAGTTTTTATTGGAATTTATATTTCCAAAATAATTTTCCAGTTCATTTTATTGTATCTATCTTGTTATATAAATTACACACATTGGTTTCTTTCAGTGTACTGGGTCTACTAGAGTATTAGCTTGGTCAAAAACCTTAATATTAGGTTAGTCCAGCAAAGCTTATGATAGATCATTATCTGGGGAATAGAAGCTAGAATAAAGTCCGGTTTTCACAGAATAGGACACAATTTACAACCAACCATTTTTCCATATGTATTTTACTTTACTTTTCCTCTCAGATATGTTGAGAGTTGGGGATAAGAAAGCATTAAACAGTTTGGTGGCGGTGGTCCACACCTGTCATCCCAGAACTTGGGAGTCAGTGGCAAACAGATCTCAGTTTGAAGCCAGCCTGGCCTACAGAGTGAGTTCCAGGACTGTCTCAAGAAAAGATAAATAAAATAAAGAAAATATTAAACAATCTCCATCTCTTTGATGCCAGTTTGTCAAATATTTACATCAAGATCTACTTTGAAAGTAGGACTTTTTTTTTTCTTTCACATTCTGCTAGTGTTCCTGTGTTTTCAAGCCATATTCTGGCCTCAAATATATATGGATGTGTGTTCTACACACACACACACACACACACACACACACCCCACATATATAGGCTTGGCTTTCTTTCAGTGATCTCTAACACACTTTCTTTTTAGATCTCATGTAGCTGTCACAGTAACTAAGGGGACAAGCAGTGTTGCCCTCATTCTTAACACTTTACAACATCTTAGTTTTCGATAAACTGCTTAAGTTCCATGTCTATTCCCTATTCCAAAGTTTCTGATCTCTACCCTCTGTTTTGTAGATGGGTGGCTGTCTCAAAGACCTTTGGATGAACAAAGTGAATTAGCTGAATT